AAATTACCCATTGCCTCATTTTACCGCCCCAAACAATTATCAACCTGAAGTATTAACCTGAAGTTATTTATCATTCATTTGTTATCCTTTTGATTGCTTATCTTTTGGTTGGGGTGAACCCAAATGTGAACATGCCTACAACTGAATCCTTTGACATTTTCACTTAACATGATGAATAAATGTATCCGAAATCATGGGGATAATTGTCCGGGGGCGAATAGCATGGGGGTGTTTGTCCAGGGGATAATTTTCTGGCTGGTGTTTGTCCTAGAACCATGATCTTGATGTAATTAGCTCCGATAATTAACATGTGGTTATTTTAATTTTGTTGTTTGAGTTTTTCTCACTGTGATATTTTACAATCCAATTACTGTAATACATGCAATATATAGACATAGGAACTGTACTCACATTCCCCTTTTCTTTTTTGTGCACCCATAGCCTAGAATCAAAGGATAAAAGATTAACATAATTAGTGCATATATATATATTGTACCCGCCACCACAAATAATTACGCAATCATATCACAGAGATTGCATGTTGTCTTGTGCACGAATTTTAATCCTAACTAATCTGTCGTCTTTTAGTGAATTTGTCATTTACACATTTCAGAAGACAAAAATATGACATAACGATATACAATTATGATAAATTACACAATGAGGTGGCTCAGTAATTTTAATACTTGTTACTTGTATGCAAGACCTGCAGAATGTGTTAATTTAATATCAATCAAATTAATCTCGCAAAGTCTGCACTGCCATCCAGTAGGCCTTTCCACTTTCATACTGTCTCGCATCACATTAACATGCTATGGCCTTCTAGATTTACAAGTCATGGCCCTCTCCATTACCATGTTATGACTCACTAAACTTCCATGTTCCTATAAAACTACTGCTCCACACCTTTTTTACTGTCGTCCAATCATCCAGGATATCACCATCTGACAACATGTACACTACATATGGCCCGGTAACGGTGATTGGCTTGCGGCGTTTTTCCGGGCACATTGGGTCACTGTAGTTCTTCTTCTTCTTTTTAGAACCAAAGTGTAGCTCATTCCAAATGTCTGCACAAAAATGAGGAGTTCTTGTGAAAAACAGATGACCTATGGATTGCTTTTTCCACAAAGTTCTAGTCCGAAAATTTTGCATCTACTCTGGTGAATTTAAATGCTAGTGACTACTGCTGACTATGCTACAACTCCAAACAGTTGACCATCCTGTGGGTGAATAAAAAGGTTTCTGAACTGAACCTCTATGCTTTGATGCAACTGCACAACTTAAATGGCACACTTAGTGTGAAATGCATATATATATATATATAGTAATCACACTTACACTAATTGTCACTACACAAAGTATTCACGTGATTCCTTAGTCAACTACCGTTCATCATAAATCAAGGTGCCCGTACTGTGCTTATGCCATGACGCTGCATGTTCTTTGCAATACAAACCAGAGGTTATATCAATACTGTCTCTGTCTTCTTCAAGCATTCTTATTTTCTCTTCCAGTTCGCTCTTTACTTGGTCATAGAGCAGCATTTTGTCGCTCTGAAAAGAAACATAAAATTCGTAAACATTTACACATGCATTTAGCCATGAGTGTTGGATCATACACTGCACCTTATATTGTGTTTTACTTACAGTATCCAAACAGATATTGAACAATTAAACATGCAGGGTTCTCCCCAGGCCTGAAATGCATGTTGGGTCCAACATAACCTCAACTGCTGAAACTAATTTGTGACATCTCATAAATCCTTTGACATACCTAAATTGCCTAATCAACATGCCTTAATTTCTAGCTGTTTACTTTTGAGAATTTCAACGCAGTCATGCTGTGTATACATAGATTGATTTAAACATTTCCGGACTAATCGAGTTTATATGTGTATTAGGGCCACTCACGGCACAACATGACATTTAATTGACTCCAATTATCAACCGGTAATGAACTGCCCGATGCCCGACATGCCATCTGAAACTCCCAGGGAGAACCTTGATGTTAATAATACCTTGAAGCTCTGTGTTGCACTCTGAAGCTCACAGTCGTATTCTTTTCTGACAGCCTCAACTTTTAATTCTTTAAGGATACCTGTATGATTTGATACTAGCATTATTCAAGTATTCAGTTGTGCTGCACAGTAGTGAGAAACCCTACCTAGGATCAACCTTTATCACACTGCAAGGCTCAAAGTTATGTGTAATAAACATGTACATTTCACAAAGCAAACAGTAAATGTGGCTCACTCTGAGCTCTTTGCACTAAGATCTGACAACATCCACTTCCTAGCCAAGTCCACGTAATTCAAATTATTGTGTGCAGACATCATGGTTCTTATGCAGGGCAGAAACACCCTATTTCATTGACGAGTAATTCGGAAAATGAAGTTAAAGCATTTGGGATGTGCGACTTACCAGCCACCTGTGTACGTATCTGCATGTTCTGCTGCAGCTGTGACAGTGGCTGTAGGTACTCCGCCGCACGACCTGCCTTCACCTCACCCAGCTTGTCTTCCACCTCCTGTGTACGCTCCCGACACAACCTGATCATCAATCAGCCCTTACGTTACAGTAGCAGCTAACAGACACGAAACTACTCATTTCTATATATACTATAAATTCTGCAATTGTGAAATTATACCAAAGATTAAATCCATGTTTCGAATACAGTTTAGAAAACTGTGTCAACATTAGTGTTACGAGACGTCAATCAGGGAATTGTATTTTTAATTTGATTTTGCCTAGGACACAGTATACCTAATTTTACAGATAGCTAATACTATACAATTATTGATAGCTAATGCAATGCAGACTTACTGCTCTCTCAATTCAATGAACTGTCTCTCTAAGTCCACCATGTCATAGAGGCATTCTGTTCTGCGCTGGTCACACTCCTCCTCATCCATATCTGGAAAAACCCCGTGGTCCAACATAGAAAGCCTGTATACTATTGATAGGCATAGTCTGATAACTTACAGGACTTTACTCACATTGTCCAGATGTTTACACTCTTTTTATCTTTATATATTCTTATTTAACTTGATATCACATGCTGCTAGCTATCCTGTATGTATAGCCAGGATACATATGCTGACTGACATTACCTGAGGAGTCTTCATCAACATCGGTCTCAGCTGAAGATGTCGACTCATCGCCGCTACTTTTCTCACTATCTGCTGTTCCAGCCTCCTCTCCATCTTCATCGCTCTCATATTTGTCATCTTTGTCGTCTTTTCTCTTCATCGTGTCAATGGGCATGTTAACAACAACTGTAAATAAGAAACTCAAAGGCTTATAATATATAAAATTATTTACTTATATATGAGCTGAAAACAAAAATTGCTTAGTTTCAATATTATATATAGCATCTATGCAATAAGTTACTGTTGTTTCGCAGTTGGCCACAAAGGTAAAGGTAAGCATTTAGTATATTGTACTACCCGGAGTAGAAATTAATTTTTCATTTAGGTATTCCAATGAACTCTCTGCCCTAAAAATGGAGTCTGCAGCAAAATGAGGGAGTTTGAATGCCATGTAGTTAGAAACTAATGATCACAATAATGAACACCTGTGCATATTTATGCACATTCCACGTTAATAATAAGTCTTGGGCACAATACATATCTGTCTCATTACAGTGGCACAAAGTCCTAACACCTCCAACATACTCCCCCCCCACCCACCAAAGTTTAAATAGATGGCATCAGATATGCAACAGATCAAGAACAGACGTATGTTAGTTTATCTCTCAAGTTAAAATTTCCACTGTTAGGTGGGGAAGTGAATAATTGTCTACATGGATCAGTTTTATATAAGCAATGGTATGCTAGGTAAGCAAAGGTATGCCAGAGTGAGCGCTCAGCCCAAAGACGAGGCATGCAGTTTAATGTTGGTTTTGATTTAACTTGATCATAAAGTCCATCTTTTTCAGTTCACCAGAAATGCTAAAACCTAGGTTGCTCACATCAAGAATATACACAACAACCTTGCTCACATACACTCAGGCTCAGCGAAAAAAATACACGGGAGCGGCGAGCGATTTCGCTCCCGTCAGCTTTCAAAGCGCTCTGGTAACAACAATTACGAGAGCGAAAATTTTGGA